ATTAAATTAAAATTAATATATTTACAAAAAATTAATATCTCATTCAAATATTTGAGATGTGTTTTCTCAGGGGAAAACATTCAACTTGCATATTATTCTGTTATGTGGAAAAAGAATGAAAATATTTCTAAAGAACATCTGATTAATCCTTCTGCCATAGGCATCTTTTTCTTTGCAAGTCATGAGGTTTTAGTGAGTTACATTCAAAATTTAATTATACTGCTTTTTTTTATCATGGTACATGAATAAGATTGCCATAACAATGTACCTAATAATTTAAATTTTAATAATATATAAGTTTTAAGCTCATAGTTTTATACAGCAACATTAAAAAAAATCCCGAATTTCCTGTAGTAGGAGAATTGTACTAACAGTGAAAATGACAAATCTCTATTCACAAAACAACGTAATGTAATACTTCATTTGGTAGATGAAAACCTTAGCTTTCTATTGGTTATACATAATATACAATCAATCATAAGAGAGAACTATTAATAAATCCTGAAAGAGAGGGTGTGACAGGTGGATGTGGCAAGAAGGGTCTTATTTTTGATTTGATGGCTCTGTAACCAAACATGGTTGAAGGCTATAAAAATTATGTTTTGTCTGAGCAATGACAATTTTATAGTGAGTAATTGACATTAAATTTTGTTCTTATTGGAGGGGTGGTAAATAGAATAGAGAAGAGGGGATGCCTAGAGAAAATATGTAACATTTCCCACACTAGGGGAAATTCAGGATTTTTTAAAAATATTGCCTTATAAAATTAAGAGCTTAAACTTATATACAAAAGAATATGCATTATTAGCTATGCTTTTACGCTATACTAATTGGTGTAACATAGACAAAAAATTAGGTTAATTTATTTTGAATGTAAGTCACTAAAACCGTATGACATGCACAATAAAGGATGCCCGTGGCGATAGGGTTAATTATTTTATATTCTTAACTAGGTGCGTACATTCCCTTGAAAACCCATAATTTAGAGAAATGACTGATAACCCAAAGAAATTATATTTCTGAGCTTTTTTATAACTTCTGAGATTCTTACTCATATTAGATAGTTGATAGATAAATTTGCTGCTAGCAAACATAGTATTATCTTTACAAGCAAAATTTCTTGAAATTTACCAACCTTTTAATTCACTTATATGGGTGGACCCTGAACAATAAACTTTATACTCACAGCCAAGTAAAAATACTTTTATTTTAGATATATTTATGTGTACCTAATTTAATGAGCTAAGTAAAAATTGTTATGAACCTAAATGGTTACCTATAATTTTAGGTACATAAGAGTATCTTTAACACTGTGAATCAGATTTTTATATTTCTTCCAAGAGTAGTTTAATGGTATAATAATATATGATTCTTATGACATAATTTATTAGAGCCCCAGCAGGAAAGCATGTTCGTTTAAGTCCAGCTATACCACTTGAGTTAATAGAAGAAGAAGAAAGAGCAAGAAGGTTCTCCTCAGTTAACCACTGGGAACTTTCAACAGCAGTGACTACTAATCACTTGCTTTCTGTGATTAGTTTAGCTAACACACTCATGTCTATGAATAGTGCTACTTTCATTCCTGAACAAGAAAAGAGACGCAAATTACACAGGTACAACAAAGTTGAAATTATTGTATGTGTTGATGTTTTTGGTTTTATATGTACGTTTGATGTATTCTGTTTTCTACAATGTTCAAGTTAATCTTTTGCAACTGACACAATGGATTGCATTGACTAGGTGACCCCAAAGTGACTCTCAGAGTTTCTGTAGTATAACTTTTACCATGCTTTGTGTATTGTAATTAAATTTTTCAAGCTTTTCGTAAACTTTTAGACAAAAAAATCAGAATTTTTAATTATGTTTACTAAAAATTTGTCCATGAATATAGGGAGTCAGATTGTTGACTAGTCCAAGTGCAAAGTGATTTTCATGTTAAGATTAAAACACTTTTTTTTCAAATTTCATTGCATAATCTCTAAAATCTCAAATATATATCAAACTTTTTTTTTTCCAGGAAAAGTGTATTGTTTTTATTTTCTCTATCCTAACTCTATATAAGGTCGTTCAATTTGACTAACTTTGTAATCACCATAAAACTTTAAAGGTTGAAAAATGTGAAATAAAGGAAGTAGTACTGTTGTTTCCTTTTTAGTACTGACCACAAAGTTCCAAGATACAAAATACTTCAACTGAGAGTTTCTACTTATAATCATTTCACATCTATTTCCTATGTTTATTTTACTGTTAGCAGCTGTACATTGATGATAATAGCTAGAGTTAGTGATGTTGAAAAAATAGCAATTAAAATATAAACATTTACCTTAAAAACTTAATACTCATTTAGGAAGTTCTAGATATCATGAAAGTGAAATGTGAAAATTGTAAGATAAACAACAGTATTTTTTATTCTTAACAGGAAAATCACATTGCAGGTGAACTATTCAGAGATTGAATGTAAATGAGTACAATAAATAATACATTTTTGATAGAAATAGAAGGAAAAATTCAAAATTAAATATTTTATTTTTCTCAAACTACATACTTTTATGAAAATTCTTGGAAAGTTTTAAATAATTTTAGCCAATGGTTTTATTTTTGGAAAGAAACTTAACAAGAGTTATATAACGTGCTTAAGTCTGAAGTACATCATTATTATCAGCTTAACAGTGATGACAAAAGACCTCAAAGGGACCAAATGAAATTCTTTACAATGAGGCATTCCAGTATGATACCTTACCTCCTCTCACAGAATTTTTTTCTTACCACTAGCCTTGACACTCCCACCTACCCCACATGTGTTTAACATGGTACAGCTGCACTGTAGCAAGCAAATAAGCATGTGACAATAGGAATGTGACACACCCTCCTGGCAAAGCTAGCTCTCTCCATGCTGTAGAACCCAATCTTCACTTCTCGATTTAGCAAAGTAGTATGAAGACAATGTTCAAATTTTGCTTGTTTTGATTTCAGTTTTTTTAACAAATTCATTGTTTCTGCTTTTGCTTTGTTTTTTCTACAGTTAAACTTGAGTTATTGTATATTGTTACTTTTGTTATCCACTCTTAGTTAAGTTATGAATTCCAAATCTCAAAATAACTGCAACTACTATAGTAGTTAACACAACTACTGCACCTCAACTTGTAGTTTCTTAGGCTTCCGGTTCCACATTTTTGGGTGAAGAGGTCTCGGTTTTAGTATGTTGTAAATTGGAGTCCATTGTGCAGTGTTGGCTGCTCCTAGTGCAAAGTGATTTTCATAAATAAACATCAAACATTTTGTTTTTTTCACTAAAACATATTTTGAGCCCGGCATGGCCAGGTAGTTAGGGTGCTTGGCTTGCAATCTGAGAGCCTTGGGATTGAATCACCATCCCACCAAACTTGATCACCCTTTCAGCCATGGAGAATTATAATGTGATGCTTAATCCCACTCTACATTGGTAAAAGAGTAGTCCAAGAGTTGGTGGGGTGGTGATGATTAGTTTGCCTTCCTTCTTGTCTTTAATTAATAAATTAGGGGCGGAAAGTGCAGATAGCCCTCATGTAGCTTTGCGAGAAATTCAAAACAAACAAACATTATATTTTATCTGTTATTTTCTCTACCCTAACTATATATGCATTTGGTCACTTTAACCATACTCGTAAAATGTAAAATAAAATGAGTAGTACTGTTCTATCTTTTGTGGTATTGATCACTAAGTTTCAGAGTACTTCTCCTGAAAGTGTTTACTTCTAACCTCTTCACATCTATATCCTATGTTTATTTTACTGTTGGTGGCTGAAGTAGAAACCTGTCAAACATAAAGCAGTGAATCACTGTTCCTGCCATTAGACTGTTTATGTGACACTGTAATACGACATTGTTGATAACAAACAAGACTGTGCAGTGCAATAAGTCAAAAATTCCCATAGAGTTTATTGTAATCCTGGCTCCGAGAACACAATGGGAACAGATTTATTGGCTTGTTTACACTACACTGGTTACAACAAGAATTGTCTTAAGTAAGTAAAAGTTTGAGAAAATGCTTATGATATGGCTCTGTACAAATTCCAGGCTGATCCAATAATATTGATAGGTATTTGGATGTTAGTTATCCTCCTGATATGGTTAAAACTTAGTGGTATATGTGTAAAAAGTTATGTATGTATATTATATTATGAAATTTATTTGTACTCATAAGTTGTTCTTGCTTAGTCTTGTCATAAGCCTCATTTATTCTCTCAAGTAGAGGGGGAAGACAGATTCATTTTTGTAGATTTCAAAGATGAATTTTAGAAAACCAAAATATTATCAAATTACTATACTGGTACACATAAAATCACTAATTCATCTGGTTAAAAAATGTCATATCTGTTCAGAGCAACAAATTAGTCAAAAGACTTGAACATTTCCAGTAAAACTCTGGCTTGCCCCTTCAAGCCAATTACAAATGTCTGTCAGATTTACGTAGTTTGGAATGTGCTCTTTCTATTGGTTATAAAATGTACATATGAGAAGTAGGTATGAACAGACAAGGAGTTTGAAAAGAAAGGAGCATTGGACAGGGCTTCTCTGGTATTTTGATATCTGATCAAATCAAAAAGGTTTGAAGTTTTATGTTTTATATTCTAGCTTGTCGGTGTTTGGAATTTGAGTTTTTAAGTTGTTAACCACTATAGATATTCTGTGGTATATGTAATATAAGATGAACTTACCAATAAGACAAGAGGACATGTCATGGGATACATAGAAAACAATATTTAGCAATTTGTTTTTAATTGTTATTTCAAATCAAGAAATTAAATCATAGATAATATCAGAGTTTGAATTATAAACTACATAAAGTTTTTTTCTAAAACTATGTCATGGAGGATCAAAGATTATAAAGAATAAATTAACATGTCTAAATGAAAACCTTTTCTCTTTTTATTTTGTGTGGTGTTTTAAGCAGCTGCCCTTTGTCAGGTAGTAAAGATTCTACTGTTTGATGAAAGGCGTCTGCCCAAAAAGTCACACAAAATAAAAATTTAAAAGCTTTCACTTAGACATATCAATCTCTTCTTTATTACCTTTTATCCAAGTTTTTCTTCTCACATCTTGTGGAACAACACTCATTCGTGGAGGATCAACTTACTACAAATTAATGAAATTACTATTTGGAGATAGGCTGTTTCTATTAAATAAATTGTTTGGCAAATTTTAGAATGTTAATAAAACTGCCTTAGTGTCAATATTCATTGAAAGAACATTTAAGACCCAGGGTATATTATGTCATTGATATATTTGTATAGGAAAGATTTGAAAGATGTCAAAATGAAAATGAACAGTTGGATTACTTCAAATATAAAACAAACTACATAGTTTAGGTGAAATATTGTTTTTAATTCATATCTCTACTTATATTTTTTCAATTAATCATCAAAAATAACTAATAATTATGTAAAATAACTTATTAGTAATTTTGTTTTATCTCAATATAAAGTAAAATATACATAATTAAGCATTGCATATATAGAACATATCGTGATACTTAGTACAACTTGGGCAGAGGTCATTGACTGGTAATATCTCCAATATTCAGGTAGAATATCATCAGTGACTGCCATGGAAAACCCATATAAAGCAGAATATTGATAGCAATGTTTAATATCAATAAATTTGGAGATAGCATCAAGTTTTAAAAAAGAATGTTTCATTGGCAGTAGCTAATAATATTGAACTTGTAATGGTTTATGAAAATACTACAATATTTGTTATCCCTGAATCATTTTTAAAAAAGTTGAACATATGCCAGTGAATTACTTAATATATCATGTTTACCTAGTAATATATAATTTGATGAATTCATCATGGTTGCCTAATAATGTATAATATGATGATTTCATCATGGTTGCCTAATAATATATACTTTGATGAATTCATCAGGGTTGCCTAATAATATATACTTTGATGAATTCATCAGGGTTGCCTAATAATATATAATTTGATGAATTCATCATGGTTGCCTAATAATATATAATTTGATGATTTCATCATGGTTGCCTAATAATATATAATTTGATGAATTCATCATGGTTGCCTAATAATATATAATTTGATGATTTCATCATGGTTGCCTAATAATATATAATTTGATGAATTCATCATGGTTACCTCATAATATATAATTTGATGAATTCATTGGTTGCCTATAATATATAATTTGATGAATTCGTTGGTTGCCTATAATATAAAATTTGATGAATTCATCACGGTTAATTTGATGAATTTATCATGGTTACCTGATAATATATAATTTGATGAATTCTTCATTGTTATCTAATGACCATCTGTAATTTAATGCACTGAATATCTGAGCAACATATCAACCAAGTTTAGTTTATCAAGCAGTAAACAAGATGCTAGGGACAGGAAAGAATGAAGACTGAAGGTTAATATGAGCAATCGTAGCTTCACAGAATAGGATTAATAGTTTTGGTATTATTTTGAAACTGTGGACTTTCAGACCACATTATGTTCTTCAGATTGAGATATTAATTGTTATTGGGATTGTGCTACGCTAGTATGGTCAAGTATAGGTAGTTTTTTTAGTGTTTGTTATTTTGTCTAAATCTAATGTGAATACTTGTAGTAAAAGTTTTACTTAATAGCACTTCTTATTTAATATCATTTGCAATAAGAATGAAAGAAAAAACTTTGAGTGGTGTAATACTGTCTGTAACATGACGTAATATTGTCTGTAACATGATTAGTTGATAAATATATGGTCATGTTAATTTGAAGATTTCAGTACTTTTGATATAGATGAAGTTGATATGCACAGTTTCAAAGCATGTGCAAATATAATACATTGTGCTCTGGATCAGTGAATGATTTTGTTAGCATGTGCAGTTATTGTATAGATATCAGAAGTTTGAGTTCACTGCAGTATGTGGTTAGCAGCTGAAAGTTTTATACAGTTTGGTGCATATATGTACATGAGGAAATACTGTTTTAGTAACTATTTGACATAACAAAAGTGTATTTGTTAAAGAATATTCCATTTTACAACGGTAAAGGTTTTTCTTGTATTAAAAGTCAAAATGTAGTAGTCACAAATATTAAAACCTATAGTGTTGTTTATGCTGTAATAATGCTTTCGTGATTTACATTAAAATAGAAAAGTGTGGTAGGTATGAACTATCATAAACAAATGGATAAACTGCCTTTGTTAAATTTGCTCTGATAAAGTGTGAATAATTCAAGAACTGTGTGGCCAATCATATTGAAACTTTACAAGATGACATTTAGGCAAACTGTGACTTTTAACATATGGCCAGTTTTGTCTGTATTAAACAATTTACAAATAATGTTTTGCAGTTTCACATGTTATTGTAGTCAATAGCTCATTGATACATTACAAGCATAGTCAGGGAAAGGTCTAAAAAAAAGTTGAAACTTCATTCTACCCAAAATGTGTGAATAATGTAATTAGCAAAGAAAGTTAATGTTTTTCTTGAGTAAATTACTTGAGATTTTTGGTATTCAGTACTTTTTTATGATTGATGCTGTTTGTAGTGTGTGTCTAAGTAATTTTTTACTTTCTTATTAATTTTAAGTACGACTTGTTGTTTGTGTTTTACTTTAATGTAGCCCAGGAATACTGGCTATAGATGGTATTCTCACAAATTTGTCTCCTAGAGGACTGGCTAGGTCAAAAAGAGGTCATGTGATTATTATATTCATTTCTATCGATAATTTACTGAAGGAAAGGTCAACAATTCTGGATTTTAGTTTCAGGCTTATAACCTGTACCAGTTCATTTATTATTTTAGTTAACCTCAGTAATAAAAAATAATACTATATTAATTTTAGCTGTTTAATTTGAGTTTATGTTTTCTCATTAATTTCACTTGCAGTTTTTTATATTTCTAGGAGGCTAAGTAGGTCTGATAGTAAAGCAGCCAATGCAGTAGGGGAAGTTAAACTAGCTGACAAAACTTCTAAGGAAATAGATGCCTTCACTAATCAGCAGGCTCAAATCAAACAAGGCTGGAGTCTTCTTGCAGCTCTTCATTGTGTTTTATTGCCTGATTTAGTTAAAAGCTCTAATTATCGTGGTTTAGAGGTTGAAATTCTGGCACGAAGATGGCAAGACCGCTGCTTGGAGGTAAAGCTAGTACATTACATTTTTATTTTTGTTAAAACATTTGATAATCATAATTCTTTTAAAGACATAAAAGTTATGTATGTTAAAGTTGAAATACATCTTCTTATTATAATGGATGTAGTGTGTATGTCAGTATCTGTGTGTATAAACAAAACTACAGAAACGTCTTTAAACATCAACATATTGATAATATTAATGCAGAAATGAAATGTTGATTCTTTAAAGACTTTTCTGTATTCTTAGAGTATGTTTTAAACTTATAAGAAGAGGATCCAATGAAAGCCATTCAAGATGGGAAGGCCAAAAATGTGCTGAAATACAACATCTCAATGCCAGAAGTGGTGATTGAGGCATATGAAATGTGGTGCCATCTATTGAAAATTTTCACATTTTGGGTATTCAAAATTCAGTCAATTTCAAAAATAACTATGGTATGTGCAACAACCATTTCTTTGTAACAGAACACAATTTTAAATAAAAGACCCCCCACTCAACAAGAACACAACTTTCACTAGGACTGTATGTGAAGTTTTGATTATATCTTTATTAAAAAAAAACTTATTTTTTCAATAAAGGATAGCACTTTTCTATATAAAAACATTATAGTATATATCAGTAAAGTTTATGAACATTTTGAGCTCTGTACTTGGAATCATTTTGATGCAATAAGTTGCATATGTCCAAAGGGCATAATCTGAACACTTTTCCTCTGCATTATTTCCCAGAAAAAAAACCTTTTTTTAGTAAAATTTTTTACAGTTTTTTAGAATTAGTATGAATACTAAGATTAGTAATTTCTAGCATAAACAACCAACTGTAAGGTGGTGTTTCTGCTAGTTAATGATAATTATGTGTGGAGGATTTGTTGAGTAGTGACAGATAATTTTTACATTATTGAAATGCTGATACAAAGAAAAACGCTTCAAGATATTTTTTCAATTTTACAAATTATATAAATAAGTTAAACATTTATATTTTTACACATCAATCAACCAAAATAAAAGTTTTTCTTTTCTGGACTAAATAGAAGTTGAATAATGTTCTTTTTTTATTGTTGCTTTTTATAAAATATTGTAGCACAACTAATACATATTTGAAATATCAAAAAAGAGCAGGGATCTAACACTCATCTAAGCATAGGGATTTGTGGACCAACCCACTTCACTGCACACTCAACATTTAGAATGTCTAAACCTGCTGTTGGCCAAGAGTCGTTGTATGCTGAAATCACAGTTAGCTGTGATAGAAACAAAGTATATCACGCCATCAACGTTTAAGTGTAAGACAAAAGAAGACATGGGCCATTTCATCAAGTCACTAGAATAGTCTGGCTAGGATGGTCTGGCTCTTGAAGTTTTAGAGCCGAGTTGTGCCAATGTTTTGATCAGTGGAGAAGTGAGCTGTCTATTGGGCTGAATTCAAGGCTGAAAAGAGGAATCCCTCTCAAAACTTAGGTGCCTACACAGAGGAGCTGTACCAGTTGTATGGTAAAGTATATCCTACAATGACCTCAGAAGGTCATGAAAACATCCTTGTTAATGAGTTCATTAAGTGATTATGTAGTGAGACAATGAAGTATCACTTTGGGATGAGAAATATTAATCTTACCCTAATAGAGGCAGTTTTTGTGGCAGTGAGGTTTGAACTCATCTTTATGAATTAATTGCAAGAGAGGAAAATGCCTGCAGTGGTAGCTACAGTAAATGTGCCTTGAAAGAACTACTCTACTCAAGTGAGTACTTCATGTCAAACTCAAGTTTTGTTAAAGCCAGTCAGGCAAATGACACATTCTGGCACTATAACAAAAGCATACTGGTACCCAGTGAATGAGCACAAGACTTTCCTGGTCCTCCCATGATTTTTGTGCTGATGCCAATGAAACCTCTATCTGGAGATCACTCTCGAAGGAAGAACCAGAGAATTTATTGTAGGTGTGGACAGTTGTTTAACATTAAAGTGAACTGCCCGTACCTTTCCATTCAACACTGTAAAGGCTGTCAGTTTCGACCAGCTTCACAGCAAGTACAGGAGAATGAAAAACAAGCAGTAACTGCTGCTACATCTGCTCTAGAAAACTTACAGAACCTGAGTCAGGTCTGGCTACTAACTCAGGGAGGTTCAGCAGTCAATTTGTGCCAAAGGTGGTGATGGTCAGCCTGGCTCTATCATAGCTGGATGGTTGTTGGTATGTGCTTATAAAAATATAAGCATGAGAGATGGAGTTCCTGGTTGGTGAAAGAGCTGCCAGGGCACCAGTTGATTTCATCATGTATCAGGGACTCCAAGTAAAACCACTAATCTGGACACTTAACACTGACTTTGTTCTGACAAATGGTGATAGACTAGATATGATTGGAGAAACAAGTTTCTTACTAAGTCTAGTTAATGTCAACCAAAGAATGAAGGTAGTCATCATCAACCTTCATTCTACCAGTGGTATCTTTGCAATAGATGTACTGTGGAATTTATCAGTTAGTTTTGCTTGTGCAACTGGTGAACTGTGTTTCCACAAGAAAACTATTTGATGCTGGCTAGAACAAATAAGAGGACTGTAAGAGTGTAAGTCACAGTTTCTCCATCTGAAGTGTTGACACTCTATAATGTAATTATAGAGCCAATGCATGAAATGCAATGTTTCCTGTACAGAAAACAAGTAGCATCAGTGTTTCTTTTTTGTGATGAATGGCAGCCACATACAAAGCTTTTGGATGTATCGGTCATTGTAATTACAAGTAACATATGGGAAACCTAAACTAGATGTATTGCATTAAAGCAAGTACTTGATTACCAAAGCATCTAAGGTCACTGGTGCAGGATTGTGCAAGTAATTTTGTTTCATAACAGCAGTGACCTGTTGGTTAAGTATGTCAGCATATTTATGGGTTCTAATAGCCACTGAGTTGAAGAAAAATAACTCGCTATCACATACATACAGATGACACGTGTCCGATTAGAAATCCCCATGCAGGCTTCCCTGAAGCATTAGGAATGTAGCCAGTGCCTAAATACATCATATGTTAAAAGATGGAATAATACAGCTTTCAGATCATGCATGTGGTAAGTGTCAGGAAGAAGAAAGTATGGCAAGGTTGGTTTTAGACAGGTGGATGCATGTTGACAACTTTCCACTCCTGTAGATGAACAAATGACACTAGCAAGTCAACTTTGGTGATGAGAGCAGACCCAAAACTGCTTTCAGAACTAGAGATGGTTGGTACAAGATCCATGGCATGCCATTTTACCTGTGTAATGCTCCTGTCACATACAAGAAGTTATTGAAACTTACACTGAGGGGTCTTAGTGGGAGAAATTCTGCAACAGTTAAGAACAAAAGGTTTAAAGTTGAAAGCAGGAAAGTATGTATGCTTATGTGCATATGATTAGAATTTTTCACTCATAGTGAGGGAAAAGGTGGAGGCTCTATTAATGGTGCAAAGATAGCAGCAGTTTGAGAATGGTAGCAACCCATGACAAAATTAGAAGTATGCATCTTCATTGGTTTCATGCTATATTACCAAACACTTAATAGACAACTTCTCCAAGATCTTTTCACCATTATTAGTTGTAACTAATTCAAATGTACATTTTGGATGGGCGAGCACTACTTCATAAAGCAAGCTTCACTAAAAGCTGGTACCCACAACAAAACTAAGATTTTTGTTGGATACTAATTCCAGAGATAGGGAGTGTTATCAGAGTATGAAATGGATGTGTAATAGTTTACACAAATCAAACAATCACAGCTCCTTAATGCCAGTACTGCATGATGTATAAAAACTGTTTGTGGTTATGGTGTTTGACAAACTCTACTGACTACCTGTATTGCAGCAATATCACCCTTGGATGTACCATTTGTTGCTGAGGTGGCTTGTAAGCTTTAGAAATTGAAAAGGGATGATTGAATGCTGGATCACAACAAGGAAAGCCGATGGACTGTCTTGCCATTAGGATAGGCCCTATCTGTTTTTTGAATGCCTTGATCATGAACACCATGTAGAAGTCAAAGCCATGTTACAGAAGTTTCCACTATTGACTAAATGCCAGGATTAATGCACCAGTAACACTGGTGAGTGCAACAGGAGGATTCAATACCAGTGTGGACAATGTAGATAGAGGAATGTAGTGCAGATATACTTGTGGTACTTTTGTGGACAGTTACAAGTGCAGGAAAGCATACCTTACTGTTATTATCAACACCAGAATGTGGTTCTCAACCAATGTTGCTACTAGTGGTCCCTAGGGCTCTGAGGCAGGATATTTTTCAGATTTTTGTATAACGCAAGGACTGGAGGCCACCAAAGTGTTGCATGTATTTGTCATAGTATTTGATGGTAGTTTTACTGGCCACATTAGAGTAACATATTGGTATCGGTATTGCATTTGCGCTGCCCAGAGAAAAACCTGGCCTATACAGAGTAAAGTCCAGCAGTGAATTGTTTGTTCTCCTGTACGGAAAATATCTCTGGATATTGCTGGCCTTCTCTTAAGAGACTGTATGAGAAAATCAGTATGAGCTGGTCATTACCAATTATTTTGCTGAGTGGGCCAAGACTTAACAATTGGTTGTTACTTCATCACACTTTTTTTGCTGGTGTGCTGGTGGACCACAAGATAGCCCAATTTGATGCACCAGAAGAAATTCACACACGTAAGAGAGATTGTTTTAGTAGCCAGCTATTCTCTGAACTGTGAAATATTTTAGGTGTGGAAAAGCATGCACTTCCAGTTATCAATTCAAGTCTAATGGTTTAACAGAGCAGATAATATAGACTATTAAGAGGGTACTTGTGAAGTTTGTTATTCCAATCCAAGCCAACTGGAACAAACATTTGAGGTACATCATTATGGTATACTTTGCACCAAAAAAGAATTGACTGGTTGGTTACTGAACATGCTCATGTTTGGCTAGGAAGTATTTGCCCCTTTGAATATGATGTATGGCCATCATATCCACAATTAGGATGGGTTATTTATTGCAATATGAACTGGACTGAAATGGT